CCATGTTGGGAGATTCATTTCATTTATTCATCTTCTAGCACAGGTGTCTTCAAACTTGACAGCTTGAAGACTTGTGGACTTCAACTCCCAGAATCCCTCCTTCCAGTCATGTTAGCTCAGGAATTCTGGGAATTGACGTCCACAAGTCTTAAACTTGCCAAGTTTGAAGAGCCTTGTTCTAGCACAATTCTGGGATCAGTTGGTCCAGAGGAGTCTTAAGATTGCAAAACCTTGGTCAGATCCTAGGAACTGCGGTCAGGGTTGTTTCTTCAGAACCTTGGACAGATCACAGAAAGCAGTCGACTAAATCTAGCAGAATCTCAATTTAGAACTGGGCAACTGCTGTGTCTTGTGCCATGTTTAAACAGTTGCACTCCAGAAAGGACTTCTCTAGTTTTCTGGAAAGTAAAAGAAACAGGCCAGAAAAGCTTTCAGAATTCCAGGTCATCCAGGCAAAAAAATATCTTAACCTTGAGCACTAACTCTATCTAATAAATAAGGCTACAGTAACAAAACCATGTAAGACTGAAGGCATTTCACCTTTTCCTGCCTGAAAAATGAAGGGACAGTCCTTCTAAAATGCTTCCCACACTTCCCTTCTCCTTCTGAGATACCTGTGGCATGTTGGCTCTTGCTTCTTTCCAGCACCCCATTACACCTTCCTCATTTGGCTTTGTTTTGGACAGGGGTCTCTCAGCTTGGCAATTTTAAGACTTGTGGACTTCAGCTCCCCGAATACTGGCTAGGGAATTTTGGGAGTTGAAGTCCACAATTCTTTTAAAGTTGCCAAGTTTGAAGACCCCTGGCCTAGGACATTGGATCGCTCTTTTACACCTTGTTAAGCCATTTGTTTGTGGCTGAGATGTTTGGATGAACCCAACAACCGTGGCCTTAATAGAATTATGGCCCCTCTTAGATATAAAACTTCATCTTCAGTCATTTCAGTTCTAAGTATTCTTTTTGATGTTCTATCCCAATAGACCCTTTTAGTTCTTGAAATTTCCTACGGAGTGTTTTATGTAGGTAAAAGGCATAATGCAGCTTACTTCATGTTAAATTCCATTCAGTCCTTTACGGGAGAGACCTCTTTGAAGCTGGATTATGTTCTCAACTTCCCCTCATTGTTTTGATCCAGCCCTAAATCCAGCCCCATCATGGCACCAAAGACATTTTCCTCCATTTGTCCCCAGCGGTTTTTTTTTAAAACCCTCTTTTAAATCAATTCCTTCCTACTCTGTCTTGCAGCCTGTGTGTTTTTTTCCTCTCCCTTCTTCTTCTTCTTCTTGACAGCCGGAAATAAATTGATTCCCTTGAAAAGGAGGCCTTGATAACAGGGCTATCAATTAACAGCCCCTGTGAAATAAAAGAGGAGGATCTGGGAGAATCTCCCTTTTAGAATGCAAATAGGCTCCCCTTTAAAGACAAGCATGGGTTGTTAGAGAAACCAGATCAAACGTGTGTCAAGAGGGAAAAGTTTCCCCTTTGCAAGAATTAAAACCGGGTGAGATCCGAGCAGGTGAGGTATTTAGTGCTTACATTGGCCTTAGTAATGAGGCATCTAGGAAGATACTCTGCCTTCTGTCGTACAATCCCCTCTTCATCATTCTCCCTAGCGTTTAATCTCTGTTTGGAAGAACCCTCTTCCTGTAAGAGTGGAAATAGAATGACAGAATATCAGACTTGGAAGGGACCTTGTGAGGTCTTCTAGTCCAGTGCTGCCCCCCCCCAACCTTTTGGACACCAGGGACCGGTTCTGTGGAGGGAGGTTTTTCCATGGACCGGAGGGGGGGACGCTTGGTTTTGCGTGGTGCCTGCATCCCACAGATGGGGCTTTGATTCTTTGCATGGCACATAAAAGACACCCCCAACTGTTTTAAAGGGTTCCGTGAAAACAAGAGAATCAATTCTTTCCAGGAAGGGGGAAAATAGAGGAACCAGAAGACCCGTTTTGATACGATGCCCAAATGTCTCCCAATTTATCCAACCACATCCTGGGCTGCTGGCTTTAAGTTTGACACCCCTGGCCTAGGAAGTCAGTTTAAAGTGGATTGAAATTGTAACGAGCATCCATTCCGACAGAGAATTTATCTACTTTGGTGACTTCGTTTATTTTTGCGCCACGCTCCGGGTCATCACACAGTACAACTGTTCTGGCATTACTCTGCCATACACACAAGCTTATTACTAAGCCATTAACATTCATATTATTGGTACAATATTAATTTTGTTACAGTTATTTTATCCACCCTACTTGTTGTGGTTAGCTGGCAGCATGTCAGCTGAGGAGAGCAAAGACTCAGATGAGCGGCCAGGACCATCAGGGAGTGGACTGCTGCCTTCAGAGATTGTGGGGGCTGGCAGCAGTGATGAGGAGGTTCCCAAGGAGCCTGTGCCAAGTGCGCGTGCGCGCAGGGTTGCTCGTGGGAGAGAGCAGTTACAGCAGCATGGGTGACTCGGGAGTAAGACTGTAAGGTAATGGCCCTTCCCTCCAGAGAATAAAAGCCAGGTTTGAAGAAATGTTCTTTGCAGAAGGCAAAGACGCTCTGAAACTCAGCCTCGTGGACATTATAGTTAGTATTTGAAAACTCTTGTAAACTATTTCTTATCTGTGGGTTTTTGGCAGCCTTGCAAAAACTTGCCAAGGCTCTTTCTTGTCAGAGCTAATTAGTTGGAAGCAGCCTTTTATCTGCGAAGAAACAGAATTCGTAGATTAAACTTTAAAAGGTGAGGGCTGCTGCCTTTGTCTGGTGTTTGCTCTCTTGGAACCCAGTTGGGTCAGTACACTACTTGATTAAATCCTCCATCATATCACATTCTGGGTCTATTTTTTGTTCTGACCTCCACCTCTCTTTGGCAACCGTTGATAGAATTTATTCCAAGTATCATAGTATTCTGTCTCCCCCTTATTCCTCCTTCCATTTTTTTTGTGTCCCCCCCCCCCCCCAGGAGGTAGTCTTTCCAAACAAGATTGGTCCATCCAGTGGCCGCCAGCGACCGAGACCGACAAAGAAAACAGCTCCATGTGCCAATCCGAATCCATGCAGTGGCTCCGAACTCACCTCTCTCTGAGTCCCAAGCCTAAGTCCAAGTGCACCCCTCACTTCTGCCACCCCACGTTGTCCCACGAGCTCATCTACGGCCACACGGACAGACTAACCGTGGAAGGTTTCGCAGGACTCTGCCCTCCGCTGGAATCCGGCCACCGCTCCTTGCCCCCTTCCCCACGCCAGCGGCATGCAGCCCACACCCAGCCCTGCACCCCGAATATCATCACCCCCATGACGGCTCCAGGGACGCCGCCGGTCAGGAGGACGAACAAAGGGAAACCCCCGGGCACCCCTCCCCCTTCATCTCGGAAGCTGATCCACCTCTTCCCGGGCTTCACCGTCTTGCATCGGAGCAAGTCTCACGAGTTCCAGCTGGGCAATCGGGTGGACGAGTCTCACACCCCCAAGTAAGTGGACGGAAAACAAAAGCCGGTCGTGCGACGGGAAAGTGGTGGGTTTCTACCAGGCGGGTAGCCAGCTGGTTTCCAAGGTTTCAGGCCCCTTATTGGAAGGCCCCAGAGGTTGGATTTTAGGTTGCATGCTCACAGAGATGGTCTTGAGATACAGGAGGACTTGAGCTGCTTCCTGGTTGGGTAATGAAAGATTTGCAAGAAAACAACCAAGCTGAGAGAACACAAAACCCCACAGTCAACGTTCCCCTCCTCCCTCCTCCCTCCAATCCATTCCTTTCTAGCACTGTGGATCTTACCTACTTTGGATAATGAATGTCTGCAAGAAAACCACCGAGCTCAGAGACTATCAAGGACCCCACAGTCGTCTTCCTCCTCTTCCTCCTCCTTCTCCTCCTTCCTTCTTCCCCTTCCTTCTTCTCCTCCTTCTCCTTCCTCCTCCTCCTTCCTCCTCCTCCTCCTTCCTCCCCCTCCCTTCCCTCCTCCTCCTCCTCCCCCACTTCCTTCTAGCACTAATGATGATACCTAAATGGGATCCTTGGTGCTCTCTGAGCTTGGTTCTTTTCTTGCAGACATTTCATTACCCAAGCTAGGTAACGCCATCAGTGCTGGTAAGGATGGGGTTTGCAGAGAGGAAGAGGAGGGGGGAGGGGAAGGACTGTGGGGTGCTTGGTGCTCTCTGTGGGGATCACGTGACCCCAGGACACTTCAGCCATCATAAATGTGAGTCGGTTGCCAAGTATCCCAATTTTGATCATGTGAGATCACGTGGATGCTCCAAATGGCCCTAAATGTGGAAAAAAACGATCCTAGGTCACTTTTTTCAGTGCCCTTGTAACTTCAAACCATCACTAAATGAACTGTTGTAACTCGAGGACTACCTGCATGCTGTTTATTTACCCTGAGCATTTATGAAAAGTTTTGGGATGGTCATGGCAAAGTGAGGAGACTCAAATCTTTATCTCAGAAGTCATAGAAAAGCAGCGTCAGTTGCATTGTAGTCCAACTGTTCCATGTTGGGAATTTCTGTCTGAGAAAAACCACTGGAGTTTTCAGAATCGGTTTAATGTCAGGGCTCCAAGTAATAAATCCATTGCAAGCAAGACTCCGAGGCAATTGAATTCCTCCAAGAATGCTTCCATTGGAAACATCATATTGGCATGCATCTGGTGAAAACCGACTCTGAAGACTCCCGCCTTTACTTTTATTAAAAGTAAAAGATTTGCAACTTTCTCAAAACCATCAGTCACATGGTCCAATCACAGTGCAGTCGGACAACTGGATAGCATCACTCCACCTTCTTCCAATCAGATGTGAGAATGTCCTTGGTTCCCAAGAGAAAGAATTTTGTTTTGGCTAGAAAATCCCCCCCCCTCCCTATCCCTCAGCTCCAATGTGGCAACACTGAAGCAGACAAAATGGACTCGGTCAGGCCAGCTTCAGGGTTAATAGTTAAATTTGTGCCAACACCCTGTATGCTTGTCATGTCCTTTCGTAGGTTTTCAAATACCAACATCCCTGCCTTCCAGTATATGTTCTTTTATTATTATTACAACGATTATTTTGCTCTTTTGCCTGTTTTGCAAGGGAAGGTTGGGCAATGGCAGCGTGCGTTGCGTTTGAAAACTTGGCAGATGACAGACACCACAAGGTCCTGATGAGCCTGTCCCATCCCTGCTGTTTTTAGGATGTTTGTTGTTTTAAAATGATTGGCTTGGGGTTGTTTTTAATGAGATCTATGGATTTTTTTTTATGTCAGCACCCGATATAAAGTGTGTAACTAAATAAATAGCTTTGTCAGAGTAGAGATGAGAACAGGATTGACATCTCATCCGCTACAGGATGCTGTTGTTTTGTAACCATTCCTTGTGAACATGTGCCTTCTGGTTTTTTTTTATTTTACACTCTTTCTATAGTCTCAACATCTTTCTTTGTATTATGGTGATAACAAAAAAAAAAGGATTTTATTGCATGCTGTTTATTTATTTAAGCTGTTTTTACTGAATGGCATTTTCCTATTTCTATTAAGCTGTCTTGAGTAATATGAGGAAAGGCATCATAAATACAAACATGGCAGGAATTATATTTCAGAGCATAGCTGCTCTGACATTTCTTTTTCAGTCAATGGCCGCATTTCCTTGAGTGATGGGTGAGGATTAATCAAGAAGTGGGTGGGGGCAAGGTCACCCCCCCCTTTTTTTTCGTTCTTTTTGTCTTTTTGGAATGGTGCGGTGGCCTAGAGGTGGATCTCTCCCCTCGCAATCAGGAGGCTGTGAGTTCAATCCTAGGTAGAGGCAGATATTTCTCTTTCTGGGCACAATGAGAATATATTTGCTTTATAGAACTCCTCATTGGTGACAGGAAAAGCATCTGGCCAGTAAACACTCTGCTCCATTCAGTTATTCCACCCCGCAAGGGGTTATGGGGTGATGAAAAGAAGATGATGATTCTTTTTCTCTGATCTGTTTTAATAATTGAGTTTCAGAATTCGTTGTTTTTTTTTAAATTAGGCTGATGTAATTACCACCACAGGTTGCCTACTCCTGTTACAGACTCATGCTAGCATAGGTTGTCCTGTCTAGGAGGCACACTTTTGCCTTAATTAACGGAATTGAGCCTGTATCTGACATGGTATGTTAAACTATACCATTAGACTTGTGATGATTACTTTGAACTGTTCTTAATGACCTCTGACTAGAGCAATAAAAGCGTGAAAAGGAGAGAACTACTTAATTTGTATTCCTCAACTCAAGGATCTTATTAGGTGGAAAGCAAAGTGAATTAGCAATATATATTGGCCTTGTTTCAATAAAAGACTGCTGAGTGTTATTCTAAGTCTCTTATCTGCCTATAAGATGATCTGAGCTGGTCCTAATTTTCTTCCGTAGATTTTTTTCTTTTCTCTTCTCCAGCCCATTTTTATATTTCTATTTTCTAAGGCCCCAAGTACCACTTTGGGGGAGTGGGGGAATCAATCATTAGGGAGACCTACTTTTCTCTCTGAGTCTTAGGGATCCCTGCCACAGAGAAGAAGGGGTCAAGCTATTCTCCAAAGCACCTGAGGGCAGGATAAGAAGTAATAGATGGAAACCAATCAAGGGAAAAAACCAACCTAGAACTAAGGAGAAATTTCCTGACACCAAAAACAATTCATCAGTAGAATGACTTGTCTCCAGAAGTTGTGGGTGCTCCATCGCTGGAGGTTTCTAAGAAGAGATTGGACAGCCATCTGTCTGGAATGCTATATAGGGTCTAGAAGACCTCCAAGGCCCCTTCCAAAATGGAGGATCTCTTGTATAGTATCTACTCTCCTCAGTGGGACTCTAGACTTCTGTCCCAAAGGGCTTTTTATCGCTAAAATCTCTGCTAAGCCTGCGGACAGATTGCATTGACACATTATTCTAAACCATGGTTTGCTTAGTATTTGAGGGACTCTCACCAAAAGAGTGGTCTGACTCTTTCTTTGGGGCAAGACAAGAAGTAATGGGTGGAAGCTTGTCAAAGAAATAAGGAGAAATTCTCTTGACGGTGAGAGCAATTAATCAATGGGACAGCTTGCCTCCAGAAGTTGCGGCTGCTCCATCGCTGGAGGTGTTAAAAAAATAAGACTGGACAACCATTTTTTTTAAATAAAGATTTTTTAAAAAAATTTTTTAATAACAAACATAAACAAACATATACACAAATACAAAACATAAAACCTTCTTTCCATTGTACAGTGTGTCGATTGGTACAAATCTTCTTGTGCACAATATCAACAGTCCTTTCCTTTTAACTACATTTTAAAAAAAATTATTTTATATGAATATGCATATTATATTATATTGTTATTAACTACTTATTGGACTTCACTTATAAGCTATATCATTCTTTTTGAGCAAATTTCAATTTTTCAAATATCTCAATTCATGATGTCATACATTCCATTGTTATAACATATTACATGTCTTTACTCTATCATTATATTTATATTGCATTATATCTTATTTGCCTTTTTTCTTTTCTAACCGTTGATAAAATAAATCCCAAATTTCATAATATTCTTTACCTTCTTGCTCTCTAATTGCTAATGTCCATTTACTCATTTCTGCACATTCCATTATTTTCATAATCACCTCCTCGTCAATCGGTATTTTCCCACTTTTCCAGTTTTTAGCAAGTGCAATTCTAGCTGCTGTCAAGGCTAAACAACCATTTGACTGGGATGGTTTAGGGTCTCCTGCCTTGAGCAGGGGGTTGGACTAGAAGACCTCCAAGGTCCCTCCCAACCCTATGATTCTATTTTGAGTGGGGAGAAATGAAATATTACCGCAGAGGCAACTGCTGTCCTGGAACCACACGAGATAATATTTCTCCCACTTGTTGAAACCAACTTATTCCTCCATGTCTGTTTTATCTGAGAAGGTCAAAACTGGGACCTCTGGAATCTCCCCTGGGAGCAACCCCTCAGCAGCTGCCTTGCTCGGCTGTCCTTTTCCTTTCCTGTCTCCATGCTGCCATCTAAATATGAGATGCTGGGCAATGAAGCTTTTGCCTTCAATTTCATGAATCAGTTTATCTCTAATGAGTAGAAAACAGCACATTAGCCATTTGTGCCTGGCGGTCACACACACACACACACACACACACACACACACACACACACATTCCAATGCATTGATAGGGTTGCCAGCTCATTAAGTCAAAATATGGCACCTCCAAAGAACAGGGATCCATTCCTACTAATGAACTGTTCCACGCGAGCAGGATTTCGGAGGGTGAATTGTCATCTTTCTACCTCGAGCCATTATTTTCCTTCTGACTGTCCTTTCAGAGAGAGTCTCAGCCCTCTCTCTTCTTCTATATTTCCCTTTTTGAGAAAGGGGGGGAGGAGAAAAGAAGGAAAAACTGGCTGGAGAGAGGAAGTGCCCGCAAGACGATTCAACGGCAGCTCTGCCAAGGGAAAAATACAAGAGCAGGATTATTAGCTGACCTTGTTCTGACCGAGGCTTCCCAAA